TTATATCCAATCCATGAATTGTCTTGTTTACTATTTTGATTTTCTCTTATAATCTTGACTTACAAAATTTATGCCTTGGAAGGTGTCCCCCGCCACTCCCCCCCCTCCCTCCCTCCCTCCTGGCTCTGTGTGTGTGTCTATGTGTGTATACAATGTAGGCAGAAGCACTAGGCACTGATGACTCAAGCCTGTATTCCTAACTACGAGGTGGCTGAGTTCTGAGCATTGTGGTGCTAGCCTAGGCAGGAAAGTTCATGAGACTCATCTCCAATTAAGCACCAAAAACGCCAGACTAGAGCTGTGACTCAAGTGTTAGAGTGCTAGTCTTGAGCTAAAAAGCTCAAGGATAGCACCCAGGCCCTGAGTACAACCCCTAGGGCTGAAACAAAAACAAAAACAAAATGTAGGCATAGGGACGTGTCTATATACAAGTTAGTTCAGATGCAGGGATCTATAAATGTCACTACAACATACTGAAACTGAAATTTCTCTACCGTACCAATATTTTGAGAAAATAAAGGGGAATATTCCTTCCCATATTCACCCTTCCACACTTAAAAGACAATCCAAAACTTAGATATTTTCTCTTCTGAAATAAACATTGTCCAAAAGGCTATGTCAAGCAGATTGGACATGTCCTTGCTAGCAGCGAAAAGACAAAATTGGCAGGTTTGGAGTTTGATGACAGGTGCAGTTCCCACTGTTGGAAATGGACCAGGACAGAAAAGCTCGTGCCAAGCATACAAAGAGCCACTTGAGATAAAGCAAGGGAGAAGGCTGACTGGATGGGTATTGTGGTAGGAACCAAAGAGTAGAAACAATTCAATGCTAGTGTCAAACTTACCATGTTCGAACTACCAGTGAGCTCTAAGAGGATATATGCCTATGTTAAAACACATTGGTGTAAAAGACAGCAGCATTTGCCAAGCGAGTTTTATTTCTGTGCATATTTGTTTAGTTAATTTGCTTTTTCTTCAGAGAAAATATTAGGCTTTTAGTTTTGACCTTTCTTCCCCTTAGACATCAAATGGCATGATAATTTCAGTCGGCAGCACAGGAATCTGAAAGTTCCCAAATAGCCAATTTCCTTAGGGGCAGCCCTCTATTTTGAATGCTCATGGCAGGCTCTCAGAAGATAGCTCAGGGGAATGCAGTTAGGTAATGGCCTCCCTCATGCCAGGAAACAAACCACTAATCATACTAAGTGTACAGCTCTTTTGCAAAGCACCTGATCCTTTACCTCACTGCTGCCTCTCCCTGAAATGTACTGAGCAGAATAATGATAGCATAGAAACCTCATCCTGGGTTCATTTCAAAGCCTTGCTAAGCTGAGTCCCCAGAGGCTAAGTGAAACCAGTGTCAACAATTTCTAAGGCAGAGCTTAAAGCTATCAAGAATGATTATCACACACTGTAGTTACTCAGAACTGGCTTTGCAGTTCTGTGAAAGGTCTTTTAAAATCTTCCTCTAAGAGACACTTCTGCTTTCAGAGAAAGCTATAAGGCAAATGGACCATAGGACAGTTCAGCAGTGACCATCCACTTTCAGCAGCTGCACTACAAATAAGAGAGGAAGCCACACCAGCCCAGATTCCAAAAGGAACATGACTCAGGGAAATCTCTTTTTTGAAGGGACTTTACCATCCCTGAGTTTGAATGGAAATGACCCCTGGGCCTGATTCACCAGAGTGAAGGGCAATAACCTACACTGTGGTAATTAATTTATGGCTTGTAAACCAACCCTAACACACTGCTAGAATAAAATCCAGAACTACCATTTGTTCAGCAGGCTAGAAAACCAGCTGGCAACTTAATCAGGAAGGCAGTGAAATGAGTGATAAGAGACTGACAGCCTGGGCTTCAATTCTGCTCTGCCCTCCACGAGCTGTGCGGTCTAAGGCAGTCTATGAACTTGCTGGTTCTATCTAGTTAGCCAATTTCCTCGTAAAAAAAATAGAAACCAGCAATATCCTGATTGCCTTGCTGTGAAGAGTAATGTGAATAGCCTAGAAAGTGCTTTAGGTTGGTACCTGGCACATAGTGAATATCACCTAAGTAGATGTCTCAAGTGAACATGTAGGGAAGAGGAATGAAAGAAAACTGCCCTAAGGGAATGACTAGTTGTGGTGTGTGTGTGTGTGTGTTTTAAGTTCCCTTTTATTTTTATTTGTTTAATCCAAAAATATTTCAGAGATGTTTCAGAGTAAAATGTTAAAATAATATTTAAAATACATATGATAACCATTAGATGTAGACTTGTAGTAATGCTCTACTAATCTTGAAAAGAATATATGCTAAAAGATTGCCTTTTTTCAGAACACTGTAAAGGTTTATCAAGCATGTGAAATCACTTGTCAAGTCTGCAGTTTCCTAAGTTCATTTAAGAATTCTAAGGTAGGATCTGAAAGCATGGGTTCAAGGCTGGCCTGAAGCCTTTGCCACAAAGTAACCATATGAATTGGGCCCAAACCCTACTTGTAATAATAAAAATTAATGGCATATATTAATTGTACAAATGGGCTTCACTCTGATAGTTAACATGCATATAATGTATTTTGAATAAATTCACCTCAGTTACATTCATTACTCTTTCTCAATGCTCATTCTTTTTTTTAAGTTTTTGGTGGGTTTCACTATGTTATTTTCATATTTGTGGATAATGTACTTTTATAATTCTCCTAAAACACTGTATTTTTATCCCTTAGGAAGCCTCCAATGTTTCTTCTGAAAAACAAAGGGTTTAGGTTGCATGAGTTAACAGTCCTAGAAAGTCAACACTCCTTGGTTCTTCTACAGGATTGTCTTCCATCATTTCTCATTAAACTGACCCCCCTTCTATTATTTCCTTTCCCACTGGCTATTATCCCCTGTCCTCTTCCGGATTCTGTTCCCTCTCTATACATAGTACAGTTTCTTTCTTTGAATAGCAGCATATTGTATACTATTGAAAATTTTCTGCTTGACCAAGAAAGTTAGACAACGAGTGAACCTCTCCTCTATCTTCAATATTCACCCTAATTTTGTTCTGTTTTCTAGCAAAACAATTTTTTCCAGCTTTGGTCCACCAAATTCAATCTCAGATCTATTACCTGAGTCCCCAGAATGTTTCAGAGATTATGTAATTTTTTTCTCCATTCCTTATTCTCAAATATTCTTTAAACTCAACTATTTGTGTTTTTCTCTTTTCTTTCTCCCTTCCTTCCTTCTTTTTTTCTTTCTTTCTTTTTTTTCTTTTTCTTTTTTTTTTTTTTTTTTTTTGCACATTCTAGGGCTTAAACTCCGGGCCTGGACACTATCCCTGAGTTCTTTTGTTCAAGGCTAGCACTATGACACTTGACTCCCAGCACCACTTCCAACTTTTTCTGAGATTAGTTGGAGATAAGAGTCTCATGGACTTTCTTGCCTGGCCTGGCTTTGAACTGTGTGCCAGGCTACTTTTTCTCTTTTAGACAACTTATGTTGTTCCTCCACCAGTTCAGATGAAGTAAATTCTTTAAGTTTTTGGTCTCTTAAGGCAGTGGTTCCCAGACTTTCAGATTTTATATTCTATTAAAATCTCTCATTTCCCCACTCACCCCACCAAATTTGAAGATCAATGTGAGGTCATTAAAGTTCTCTGCAAAGTAATTATATTAAAATAACACCATTATTTCAAAAGGAAATCTCAACATAAAAAAGTAGGAATGACAATAATTCCAAAATAAAATATAGTCCAAAAGAGGAATATTACGAACAACTTACAGTTTTAATCAACAACTCTTTAGGGGAGGTCCTTATTTTTTTCCCTCAAGTCTTTATACAACAGGAAGACACTACAGAGACATGAGTGGGTAGTATTTAAGAGGCAACATGGTATAAACTGTCACCTTGTTTCAACCCATTTTAGGCCAATGCTATAATATACTTCCCTCACCGTGGGCTGATTTTTGCAGCCAACACACAACTTTCTGTTTGGGAATTCCATCTTAGGCTATCAGCAGGAACTAATACTCTGCACATTTCTGGCTGTATACAACTAACTTTAAATATCTCACATAAACCATGTAATACAACAGAGTAAGGTGAACCTGGATATATCATCTCATTAAAAAAGTATATCCCCCTACACAACCATCTGTTTTCCCATTTCTGTCCTATATAACTTTCTGTCTTTTTACTTGAGCTCCTTATAAGCTCAATCTTCCAAAAAGCTTCCATCATTCTAAATATTTATATTCTTTTCTCCACATATTTTGCAACATTCTCCCCTACAACATTCATTTTTGTATTGATCATTTTTATATTAATTCTATAATGTTTTTCTTGTGCCTGTTTCTATAATAATTAGTAATTGCAAGAATACACACACACATGAGCAAAAATTGCCAAAGCCCCTTTCTCCTTAAAGTCCATTTAATTATGCTAGGCTGAGTTTAGATGGTTCCCTTTTGTGATCACTAGAATAAACAACTTTAGGTATTACAATTTTACATTCCTGAAACTATTATAGAGTATAAGGTAATGGATCCATAAGAACGATAAGTATAGTATTTTTTGTCTGGGATTTTTAAGAAAACAATAAAGAAATAAATATAAACATTGAGAGCATGCAAGATGCAATGGGAAATAGTTAAAATTGCTACAATCTATGTCATATTTCTACAAAACTTGATGTCTAATAAGTTTTGATGACAGCATGAAAACAACTTTTAGGTAAGCAAACACCTATTGATTTTACAGTATATTAGGCATTAGAAATTGATATAATTATTCTCATTTTCTATAATATTTATATTTGTCTTTCATTTCAACAAGTTAGTATAAAAATCTTGTTTCAGATATTTCAGAAGTAAGCAACCTGAGTGGTGGAAAGTCTTAAGTGCCCTCTCCTGCCATGTTCACACGCACCAGACTATTATTGCAAAGTACTGACATACATTATTCCAGATTCTTCTCATATAGATAGTAACATAGATTAGAAAATCAACATTTTTTTAAAATTAGAATGATTCTACCACTTACCAAAATAAGCCCCGATATTAGTGAAGAAGTGCCTGTCAGGGCCACGTAGAACTTCGGTGTTAAAGTATTCAAAAACATACTCACTGTAAAAACAAGAGAGACAAAAGGAGAGCAATGCATGAATATGACAGTGAGACTAACTCTTTCATTTTATTTCCTTCTAGCTAACTCATTAGTTTCTGATGACTAGAATTCTTAGAATCATAGAAGAGTCCCATTATAAAGGTTAACCAAGCTAGATGCCAATGGCTACATGCCTATAAGCAATCCTATCAGGAGGCTGAAATCTGAGGACCAAAGTTCAAGCCAGCCTAGACAGACAAATCCATGATACTCTTATCTCCTGTTTACCAGCAAAAAGCCAGAACTAGAGACATTCCTCAGTGAGGCCTTGAGTTCAAAAACCCAGGACAACAAAAAGGAAAGAAGGAAGGAAGAATAACCTGGTGTTTGTTAGGCGGATGCTCTATCACTGGAACAATGCCTCTCTCCTTGGTCGCTTTAGTTATTTTTCAAATAGTCCCATATTTATTCCTAGGCCGGCCTTGACAGCAATCCTCCTATTGATGCTTCCTACATGGTGAGGGATGACAGGCATGTACACTATACCCAACTTTAATTAATTGAAATGGTGTTTCCTTTTTGTCTAGACTGGACTCCAGCCATAATCCTCCTAATCTCTGTCTCCTGCTCTGCTCCTCACCCAAGTAGCTTGTATCAGAGGCATGAGCCACTGTACTCATATTTTTTTAAATATGGAAATAAAATGTCATCATAGTAAATAAGCTTTTTTCCTCTAGGTATATCTTAAATTTAAGATTTATAAGATCAATTTTACATGCAAGCATAGCATCTGTTCTATAAGGATTCAAAAGCACATGAAGGGCCGGGCGCTGGTGGCTCACGCCTGTAATCCTAGCTACTCAGGAGGCTGAGATCTGAGGATCGCGGTTCAAAGCCAGCCCGGGCAGGAGAGACCGTGAGACTCCTATCTCCAATAAACCACCAGAAAACCGGAAGTGGCGCTGTAGCTCAAGTGGTAGAGCGCTCGCCTTGAGCTGAAGAGCTGAGGGACAGCGCCCAGGCCCAGAGTTCAAGCCCCACGACCGACAAAAAAATAAAAAATAAAAAAAAAAGCACATGAAGGTACTTCTGCTTCTCCTCTCCTTGATCTTTTCCCTGGTCTCCTTGAGTTGATACAATCTCAAACATATATATATCCCAATTCCCTTAATAAATCCTGTAGCATTTATGTGTCAAAAAAAAAAGCACATGGGAGTATATTTTTAGAATAGTTCCTATGGCAAAAAAAAAAAAAAAAAAAAAATCCTCATAAATCATTCTGTCTACTCTTCCCTCTACCCTTGATGTTGCCTTGGCAACTTTACAGGTATCTTGTTTCTGCATTGCTAGGCATCTGGTTCCACTGAGGAATGGAGCTGACCACATTTTCCCCCTTTTTTTCCTCTAATGTGGTCAAAGGAACTGACTGGAGCAGACTGTATAGGTGTGAACAACAAAGTGTTCAGTCTTCCCGTCACCTTCTCCCTTGCTGGAGGGAGACCATCTGTCAACCTCTCCTCCCATCATGAAGAACTACTGCTCTAAGTCTGGTTACATGAAAGCCTTAATAACCCTAAAGGAGAACTAAGCCTTAATAACCCTAAAGGAGAACTAAACCAAAATCTCATAGCATCTTTGCATTTCTATTTTCAATGAGGAAACACTATTTTGGTGACTAACAGGAGAAATGCCTGTCCAGGTCTTATTAGACATAGTACCTACCATCCCCCAAAGTAACTGGATAGTGTAAGATGCATGCTAAGTAGATACAGTGATGACTACTCACTATCTGGGACTGTCAGTCCCAGATATTATGCAATACAATGTAATAGCAAGATCTTGACTATGTAAAACCCTTAGAAATTCATTGTTTGGAATTGTTCGGGATTTATTGTATTAAACACCAGAGATATATTTTGCTTTTTGAAAAAATGGGCAGAGAACTTGAATATGATTTTTATTTTATTTTTTGTAGGCATTTATGTTTTTTATTGTCAAGGTGATGTACAGGAGGGATATGGTTACATAAGTAAGGTAATAAGTACATTTCTTGTCAAACTTGCTACTCCTTCCCTCATATTTCTCCCACTTTCTCCCCTCCAAGTTGTCACTGCATTTGATTTGGGTACCCTGGTGTTGTATATATGTTTATCTGAATTAGGGAAGGGCAGGGGAACAACAGAATGGTGAGACAAAGGTCAAGGGGGAACCAATGCAACAATACTCACAATATGTTAGAAATTATCTGTACAGAGATGCATTTTGAAGAGCAGATTTACAAGGATATCTTACCAAGAGGTATTTATACAGTTGATTACACTCTTAAATAGAATGTTATAAGTATATTTCAGTGTTTCATTGGTAACTAATTCACCAACATGAACATAAATTCTAGTGCTGTGCTGATGTGCAGTTATGTTTCCAGAAATAGTTGCCACACCCTAGGTTATTTTCCTGTGAAACAGATGTGCTCTTTGAGTCTTCTCACACAATTTGGTTGTCATCTGACACAGTACTCAGGTATTATGTATCCTTATCTGCCTGCATTCAACTGCCTTCTCTCTTTTTTAATGTACTACTTAAGATCTCTTGACTTCAGAGGAAAGTAACCAGCTCAACAGTTCAGTACATACATTTAACATATGTTTAATGCTAGGTTGTGTGTAAAATTTTGGGAGCTACAAAGATGAATGACACAGAATTCTTATTCTCAAGGATCTCTAGGTTTCATAGGTAAAACAGATCGGAGTACAATGAACAGGCAACTATAACTTTGAGTGTTGCTCCAGAAATACAGAGGTGGTGCTTCTAACTCATTCTTGGGTTTGAGATGCAGAAAGAATGTGAAATCAAGGACTACTCCTTTAAGAAAGCTGATAAGCAATGCTCCAAATGGTATGCAGCAGGATCATGTTCATAGCAAAAATGAGGGACCCTCAGTAATCCTTTGATGTTCTTGGTAATTCTTATGTTCACAAAAACATAGTCCTCCAAAAAGCATCAGCCAAGCAAAAAGTGCTAGGAGTTTTCTATCATCTTCAGAGATTTTGGTTTCTAACTTCTTATTTCCTTTCTTTTACTGAAAGTTACATAGAAAAATGTTAAAGAAACCTTCATAGTTGATTTAGAAAGGTTACATGCTACAAAGCTGCATGTAGTAACTCATTGCTCAATTTGCTGAAACAGAGATAAAAGAAAGCTCAAAATACTGGCAACAGTTACTTGCTTGGACAAATAAAGGTTGAGTATAAAACATATGGCAATAATTAGAAAAGGTAAAAAGGACATTAATAAAAATAGAACAACCATTTATATTCTAAAACATCTTTCAGTAGATGATCTACATTTGTTAATATTAGCTAGTTTACTCAATTATCCAAGCAGTATATAGGTTACAAAAAAGCATGAGACAGAACCAGAACAATGGTGGAATGTAAGATGATAAGGAGATTGATTATCCCCTTGAGAGGGAAAAATAACGTGGCCACACAAATAGCATAGGACATAATGTGAAACACATTAGTGGAAGGTACAGATAAACCTAGGGGAAACAATACTGCTAGCTAGCTAGATTAGAGAAAATTAATGAGTGAAATGTCTTTGGTCTGGGTTATTAAAGAAAACTCAGCTTTAAAAAGAAAGATCAGCTTTGAACTTGAGACTAGAAAAGAAAAAATAAAGAGGGCCTAGAGCCCAGGTAGATTACATAGTAAACAGAAAGAGATTCGGCTACTGAATAGGGTGGATGAAAAGAGGCAGGAGAAGAGACTACTGGTTCAAATGCCAGGCCAAGAAAGGTAAATTACCCACCATACCCTCTCTGCACTTCTGAGCATCAAACCCAGGGCCTTGACGGTACTACCACTGAGGCACACCAAAAACCCCAAAGTGGATTTCATGTAGCAGGCAATGAGACAGAGAAGAACTATGACTAAGACATCTGTTTGGTGGCAGTTTGGGGAATTATTTCAGAGGGAGATCTGTAATACCACTAAGGCAGAAATTGGGCATATCAGATGTTGCTGGGTAAATTCAACAGGATGCCACTCTTTTTTGGGGGGGAGTCGGTCATAGGGCTTGAACTCTGGGCTTAGGTACTGTCCCTCAGCTCTTCAGCTCAAGGCAAATGCTCTACCCCTTGAACCACAGCGTCACTTCCAGTTTTCTAGTGGTTTATTGGAGATAAGAGTCTCAAGGCCTTTCCTGACCAGGCTGGCTTTGAACCATGATCTTCAGATCTCAGCCTCCTTGACAATATGAATTATAAGTTAATAGTCTGAGGAATTCTGGTAATATGGAACCAAAGGTCACAGTGACAGGTGAAGGAATTATGGGAATACGTATAGAATATTTCTATAGGAAATCAGGTAGTAGAGAGAAAAGAAGTTTATCAGGATATTTAACTTATGTAAAAAGAAAAAACAGCTAGGCATCTACTGAGTTGGCAACTGAATTAAAGATACAACACAAACTTTTCATCATAACAAAAATAAGTAGTACGTCTAAGAAATATACTGCTAATTCATCCTCATACCAAACTTTTGTGAGATATAGGATTCATCATTAGGAATATATACATTTTCTTAATAATTCTTTGATACATTTAAGAAAAATTTACAACACAGTGAAGTACTCTAACTTGCTGTTGAGCTTGATAATTACACATATGTATATTCCTGTTTCAACAGATAGGATTATATGACAAAGTAGAACCCACTCTGTTCTGTTCTTTTTTTTCAGAGAGGAAATTTTGTTTTTGGCATTCAACAAAGAAGTTTATGAATACAATGTCTTGGTCAATAACATCCCTTTCAAGATTCTCACCCATCCTTCCAACACAACCTTTCTCACTTTTCTTAATTTTGTAGAGTATGCATTGATTTTTTTTTTTTTTTTACTGTATTCTTCCTGCCTTCTGCTCTTCATTTGTCTATCCCTTCTCCCCTTGGTCCCACCCCACCTTATTCCTACTTTTTATTTTACTAAACTTCATATTCTGTTCTATTCTGTTCATTCTAAA